GCTTCAGATCCTGAAATCATCATGAAAACTTTAGAACAGTGCTTCGGGAGACCAGAAGTGATCATCGACCGATCGCTCGACGAACTAAAGAAAATGTCGAAGCCAGGATCATCGGCAACGGAGCTGAACGCATTCGCCATACGAGTACAAAACATCGTATGCGTATTGCAAACCATCGACAAAAGGGGATATCTCTTCAACCCCTTACTTGCAAGAGAGGTGCTGGAAAAACTGAGCCCACACCTGCGATCGAGGTGGTGCGATTACGCACACGAACAAGACGACGTGCGAGAACCGGAGATTGTGACGCTGTCCCGCTTCCTGATGCGTGAAGCAGATCGAGCGCTGCGCTTCACGTATGCACCATCTACAAGCACCATTGCCACGAGCGCAGCACGAAGAGAGAGCAGACCAGCGATCGTCCTGAAGAAAAGAACACAACCAGTATACGCGACGGCCGAGCCGACTGAAGATATTGAGGTATGCCCTGGCTGTGGTCAACATCATCACTTGCCGCAGTGCCCCAAATATAAATCGCTCACGGTCAGTCAACGTTGGGAGTTAGTCAAGGACAAGAAGGTGTGCTTCAAGTGCATAAGCAGCAAGCACAGGCGCATCACCTGCCGAGCGAAGCCATGCGGAATCAACCAGTGGCGACGACCTCACCATCCCACACTCCATGAGGACATCAAGCGAACAGAGGACGAGAAGCCAAACGAGGAAGCCGTCCTGTCGGTGGCGTCGCGAGCAACCGGCGCTGCGAACGTGTTACTAAAGATATGCCCAGTGGTCGTCAGCGGTCCACGGGGGGAGGTGAAGACGCATGCACTTCTCGACGTGGGAGCGACCGTCACACTCATCGACGAGGAGCTGGCAAAGGCGATCGGAGCTGAAGGTCCCCAGTACAGTCACTGCACCTACGTGGCGTCAACATGCAACAGAAAGAACAACGCAGCCGACTAGTCTCGTTCAACATCCGGGGTCTCATGGAAGAAAATAACTTCGATATAAAGGCGAGAACGATGCGAAACCTGAACCTGCATCAGCAATCTATACCAAAGGAACTTTTGAAGAGTGAACACCTGCGCGACTTGAAAATCGGCGAGGTGAGCTACGAACGAGCTCGCCCTGGCATCCTCATAGGCACCGATCACTGGGAGTGCATAGTGTCGAGAGAATTAAGAGTCGGCGAACGCGAGCAACCCGCAGCGTCGCGCACGCAGCTCGGATGGGTGGTGCATGGAACCGCGCCACGAAACACCATCTTAAGAACGGAACACGTACTGCACCTGTATGAACCGGGGCGAGAAAACATTAACCACGACCAACAGCTACACGAGTTGGTCGAAGAGCATTTTAAGATCGACGCATTGGCGATCTCGAAGGAACCACGTTTATACAGCAACGAGAAAAGAGCAGTCACCATCGCCGAGGAAACCGTCAAGCGAACAAACGACGGCTACGAGATAGGACTACCGTGGCGCCGAGACGACGTCACCTTACCACCAAGCTATAACGCGGCATTTCGACGGCTCCGAAAGACCGAGAAGAGGATGGACACCGACACAAGTTTCGCCCAGGAGTACACCGCACAAATAGAAAACCTGCTCAGGAAACGGTATGCAGTGCCATGCGATGGAAAGGAACGGGGAAGTAACGTCGCGTGGTACTTACCTCACTTCGCCGTCACGAATCCGAACAAGCCTGGAAAGCTGAGGTTGGTGTTTGACGCGGCCGCCAAGAGCAACGGATTCAGCCTACACGATCATCTACTCGAAGGGCCCGACTTGCTGCTGTCCCTACCTGGAGTGCTGTTCAGGTTCCGCGAGAAGGCGACCGCAATAACCGCGGACATACAAGAGATGTTCCTGCAGATCAACCGATACGATTTGGACCAATGTTCATGAAACCGTTCGACAGGAGGTTATTTCGATCTTATCTCGTTCACCAGTGTTAATAATTTTTGACCTAAAATTTCCAGTGGAATTATATACAGATGCAAGTGCGGAAGGTTATGGAGCAATACTATTTCAGAAGGTAGACGGAAAATTACATCCTGTAGAGTTTTATAGTAAAATAACCACGGACGCTGAATCGCGTTATCACGTAAATGCCGTTAAACATTTCCGTCACTATTTGTATGGTAGAACCTTTACTGTTTTCACCGATTGTAACTCATTAAAGGCAGCTAGAACGAAGGTAGACTTAACACCTAGAGTACATCGTTGGTGGGCGTTCCTTCAGGCGTTTCATTTTGATATACAGTATAGGGAAGGTAATAAAATGGCCCACGTTGATTTTTTGTCACGTAACCATGTTCCTTGTGAAGTAAAACGAGTCAATATCGCGGAGCTATCACCCGATTGGCTGCAAGTAGAGCAAAGGCGAGACTTAGAATATAATGAGATTATTAATAAACTAGAAAATGACGAACTTGATTTAGAAAATGTCCGTGTTTATGAGTTAAGATCGAACATACTTTATAGGAAAATACAAAGAAATAATCGTAATATTTGGCTACCGGTAGTACCACGAGCTTTTCGTTGTTCGGTAATTAATCATATTCATGAGTCATTTGTTCATTTAGGATGGGAAAAAACCCTAGAAAAAGCTTATCACCCCTATTGGTTTCCCCACATGACAAAGTATGTTAGGAAGTTTGTTGAAAATTGCATTACTTGTAGAGTTGCTAAAACTACTGGTGGTAAAGCACAAATCCAGTTACAGCCTATCCCAAAGATTAATATACCTTGGCACACAATTCATATCGATGCCAGTGGCAAGCTTAATGGTAAAAATGATTTAAAAGAATACGTATTTGTGATTATCGATGCATTTACGAAGTTTGTATTGCTGCGGCACTCTACTCGAATCAATACCGAAAGTGCGATAATTTCCCTTAAAACATCTATAGCGTTATTTGGTACTCCCGTACGCGTAATTACGGACCAGGGTAAGTGTTTTGCGAATAAAGATTTTAGAGACTTTTGAGCTAGTCACAATATTAGTTTACATTTTATTGCGACTGGGTCTTGTGTGGCAGGTGGAGCGAATAATGAGTACTCTAAAAATATGCTAACTGTAGTAGAAGTCAGTCCTAATACATCTTGGCAAAATGCGCTAGATGATATACAGTTGTCATTAAATAGCACAATACAGAGAGTCACTAAAGCTAGCCCGTTAGAGTTATTAATCGGTAGAGTAGCTAGACTTTAAACTTAATGACTGTAGATGATCAAGAGATAGAGATTAACAGTACGGGAGCAAGCGGAGAGATTGATATACCAAAGTGCGTGTTCTGATAAAATTCGCTTAATGTATTTCTTAATCTTTATCGATTCCACAAATGTGGAAGCATTTTATGTGACGTGGAGGTCTTTTCATTGTAATGTGGAGGTCAGATGTAATTGGCGAGGAGGCCTTATTTATGCTATATTAGCTAATATTTAACGTACTCGGCGAGTTGGCCCTACTAACACTAGATACTAAGCGAGGTGGCTCTACATACTTAGGGTGGTGGCTCTACATCCTTGGTGAGGTGGTTCAATATACTTGACTATGTGGCCCTTTATTCGTGGTGTGTGTGTAGTGTGGTGGTCTTACGCAAATATTGACGCCATGTCAAGGCTTTGCGAAGAGAATTTTACAGACAAAGGGGCCGAAGAGTGCCTGCTTTGCGATAGTAACCAGATGTTCCCTTATAATTTTATCAGGATTGGCCGAACATATGGATCTACAGTTTTTTTAGAGATTTTTTTATTATTATTACAGATTATGCCGGCAATCCTTTAATACCACGCGAGGACGCGTGAGGCGTCAGGAAGGTCGTGTTGGAGATAGTTAATTATCAAAATAAAAAGATTAATGATTGAAGCTAGGAACTAGTTTTTACTTAGATTATATTGATTCAATTGACATTAATACTTTTCCCAAAAAAAAAAAAAAAAAAAAAAATTTGCAGCATAACTTAGTCTGCTAACAAGTCTGGATATATGGGGGCCCCATTGAAGACTTGCAAAAAAGTTATTCCAAATAAAACAGTCGTATCCACAAGGCCTAACTCCTTCCCATTTATAAGTACATTGGTACCTCCCAAGTCTTTAACATTAGGTGTCGAAAATTTTATACATTAAGGTTATTGCCATTTCACAGTAAATTATTAGCATTAAACGAATGAACCATTTCTGACATTACCATATCAACCATATCAAGAGTTACAATATGTCACAAAGAATAAATAAAATTAATTAAAAATAGTTATTTAAACTCTGCTACATATTATATATACATTCAAATATGTTACTAACATAACCCAAATTTGCGATTGAAAATGCGATGCCCTGGAATATTAGGAGTCTAAAACAAGGCAATGGTCTCTTCCATTCGATTAATTAATAATGAATCGCGTTTTCGCCTAAGCTCAGCAGTGGGACATGTATAGGCTGATACATTTACTTTTTTGCTGAAAGTAAAAAACAATTGTAGATAAATGAACAAAACTTTCGACGCTACGGGATTCGAAGCTGCGTCTACTTGATTTGAAACAACCATATTAATTGTTAATAATCTGGGCTCGAAACTATATCATATGTATCTAAAAATTTACAATTTACGTTTAATATTTCAGTTTACTCAAAGAATGTCTCATTTTTCTCAAAAGATCTCATTTGGAATTCAGCTGTTTATTTTTTTGCAGTGGCGGATTCTTTTCGCGAGATGAAACTGGCGAGGAAGGCGGACACGCGACGGATGGCAGCGCTATCTACGGAAGCTCGTCGACAGCTACTAGAGCTTAAGCGACGTTCTGATTTGGAGCGGATGCTGTTGCCAGATGCGCCACCTCGCAAACGGCAAACAAAGTATTTTTTTGTTTCTTCCAATCACTTCTCTGAAGTCGAAACTGTCAACTTGGCTTCAAATATAATAATTATTTGCTTAATTCTTGATTAATAAGTTATTAATTTTCCAGGCGGGCATCTCCAGAACGTCAGCAATGCGTAATGGTTGCACCAGTCGACGAGCTATGTGACGGTTAGATGATTATTTCAGAATCAAGTAGTATTTTGTTGTTTAATGAACTAACAAAATCCATAAAAAATCTATATCGTAACATTTTTGTTGCAGAATTAAACCCCGTAAAGCCAACTCAGGTCGTGGCCTCGACGTCCAGAGAAGCTGATTTTTCTGGTAAGATTTTTATTTCAGACAGGTGGTTCGTACTTCATTAATCCTTACTAATATTATAAACGCGAAAGTTTGTATGTCTGGATGGATGTTTGTTACTCTTTCTCGCAAATACCACTAAATAGATTCTAATGAAACTTTACAATAATATAGCTTATACATCAGAATAAGACATTATATATATATGTATATATATATTTCTGTCTGAATGTTACGCCTTCAGCCTATTCTACGCAGACGTAGGCGCGGGCAGCAGCTAGTACTAAATAAATTGTTTGTTTTAGAACTGAACCTAGCTGAGGTTGAAGCGTCATATTTATTTACACAACATTCTATTTTTACGTATGTTCTTGTTTAATATATGCTATATTAAGACTTATTCAAAACATTTTCCCATAGAACCCGCCACGCCTTCTGGGTTGGCCCGTTCTTCCTGCCGAGCAAATGTTTCTATCGAAGATGGTATGTTATGGGTAATTCGGTATCATTATAAAACTTAAAAAAAAATGTGTTCTACAAAAGTCCGTTTGTTACAGTTTACGAATCGTCAATCTCCGAAGACGGAATGGGGGGTATGTCCGACCCCGAAACAGTCTCGGTTTATAGCTCTCCTAGTCCTTCCTCTCCAAATCCCTATATCATGCTGAGGACGTCCCTTAAAAGACCTTACCAGCAGATGACCTCTTCGGATTCGGATTAGATAAGAAAAAAAATTTAATAAGTAATAATAATAATAACTATAATAATAACGAGCAAGCCATCGGGTGTTGCACATGTATAACATTAAAAAATATACTAGTGCATAATACAGATCAAAAATCACTAATGTACTTTAATCAAATACGTTTCTATATATCATAAAGTATTTATGTCGTATTATGTTGTTCCAGGTGTCATCGACCATGACTATTACATTCACGTAGGTAACTGGTTAGCAGACGTATGTAACGACGAGTGGACAAGTTAGAAGTTGACGTTGACAATGACAATTCTGCTATCCCATTTTTTGACTTTACCACAGACGAACCGACATGTAACAGTGACCTAACAGAACTGCAAGAGGAAGTGTTACAGAGGGAAGATGTCGCTAATGATGCAGCATTACGCGATATCGCGCCCAGACATAAGGACAGAGACACTTTTAAGGGACGACGTGAAACATTCACATCTGGACCGACTTTTAATTTGACGGACCAAACCGAACCGACAGACATTTTTGACAGGACTTTTGACATAGATTTTATTGACTTTTTGTGTACGGAGACCAACAGGAATGCAGAGCAAAAGATAGCTTTAATGCGAGAACAAAACAAGTTGGACAAAGCTTTAGATTCTGACTCGGAAGCAATCCCTGCAAAACGTAAAAATCTATCAAGACCAGTTTTCAAGAAATCTCCTCTTATAAATGAAACTAATTTTACGGATTTATCGCGTTTATTTTTAATTTTAATTCCCGACGTTTCGAACCCTTTACAGCGTTCATGGTCACGGGACAGACTGAGGTGTTAGACGTCTGATTGTCATAGTTAACCCGGGCTACCGTCAGTTTTTTGAATTATTAATTTTGTGTCCGATCTATGCAGAGGGAGCTAATTGTATCTTGTCTTGCAGTAGTGGTTCGTTTGGGCCTAGATTTAATTTTATTGATGACAGGATCCCAAGCTGATGGTAGTACCCAACCTTCTTCTCTATTGAAATTAGGGTGTTTTTTAATTTCAATAGCCTCGCGAATCATCCTTGGGAGGAATCGGTGTTCTTTTGCAAGGATCTGTGGTTTGTCAAACCTGATGTAGTGGTTGGGCCTATTCAAAATGTGCTCACAAACTGCAGACTTGTTCAATCTATTGTGTTTTATGTCAGCTATATGTTCTTTCACGCGGGTTTTTATTGCTCTTTTCGTTTGACCTATGTAAGAGAGCCCACATTCACAGTCAAGTTTGTACACTCCTGGATCTTGCAGAGGGATATTACACTTGACAGATGGTAAAAACTGACTAATCTTCTTCAGCGGCTTGTAGAATGTATTAATTGAAGCCTGCTTTAAGATATAGCCAATCTTGTCGGTGACTCCTCTGACGTATGGTAGAACAGCAGGTACTCGCTCCACTGTGGCTGGTTTCACTCGGTCACTGTGACGTAGGCGCGGTGCTCGAAGCTTGTTGTCATGCAGAACTTGCTTGACATGTTGAAGCTCAGCGGCCAGGTGTTGTTTGTCACAGATCCCTTGTGCTCTCTGAAACAAAGATTTACCCACGGTAGCTAACTGGGATGGATGGTGGTGAGAATCACCGTTTAGGTATCTATTTGTATGGGTTGCCTTCCTATACACAGTGTGACTTACAGTGTTATTTGGATTGCGGATGACCAAAACATCTAAGAAAGCTAAAGAGTTATTATGCTCTAATTCCATAGTGAATTGTATTTTGGAATTTACTGAGTTAAGGTGGTTTAGAAATGCATTAACTTTACTTGTTGGTAAAATGGTGAAGGTGTCATCTACATACCTCTTGTAAAACCTTGGATAAATGGGAGCTGTGCGAAGGGCCTTCTCCTCAAAGTCTTCCATAAATATGTCAGCGACAATGGGAGATACTGGGCAGCCCATTGCTACACCATCTATCTGTATGTAAAATTCCTCCTTCCAAAGCAAGTAGCCGGATGTTAGGCAATGTTTAAGTAGTAATGCATACTCTTCCGGCATGTTATTCTCTTTTAGCTTTCTTGTTACAATTGAGATGCAGTCTTCTAATGGTAGGCATGTAAATAAAGACTGTCCATCAAAACTGACCATTGTTTCATTGTCAGCAAGACATAGTTGTTTTATCTCACTAACAAAATGGTAAGAATCCTTTGTGTATGCCCTTGTGTGTCCTCTCAGCGGTGAGAGAATTCGTACTAGATGTTGAGCCAGTCTGTAAGTTGGTGAGTCGATCTGGCTTCTCTCATCTGGATCTGGAATCTCCTCTTATTCAGAATCCGGCATGAAAACAAGAAAACTTAACAATTGTTTGTTATATATGATTTGTAAAGATCACCAGCCTTTCTCAATAGTCGAGAACGAAGGTTTCAAAAAATCTTATGAAAGCAGTTGCTCCTCAATATAAAATACCAAGTAGAACAAGTCTGAGACGATGGTTGGATAATAAATATGAGGTTATTTCAGAAACTTTTAAAAAGAAATTGTCTTCGCTAGAAGACTTAACCTTGACGACAGATATTTGGTCTGATACATTAAATATGAAAAGTTTAATAGGCGTAACTGTTCATTTTGGAATAAAAATTGAACTCATTTCAGTTACTCTCGGCGTGTACGAACTCGATGAAAGACATACGTCACAATATATTTCTGAAATGCTTTTAAAAACTTGTGCAGAATGGGGTATTAAAAAAGATAATGTGACGGCTGTTGTAACCGATAATGCTGCCAATATGATAAAAGCTGTAGAATGGGCGTTTGGTACGAAGAAACACATTCCATGTTTGGCTCATACGTTAAATTTGGTGGCTGAGGGCACAATGGCATGTACTGAGTGGCAAAAAATTGTTACTAAAATTAAAGCAATTGTGACCAGGTTCAAACAAACTTGCGTTGCTAGTGACGAATTGCGCAAAGCTACTTCTACTGAGACTAAACTTATATAAAGCGTACCGACGCGCTGGAATAGTACTTACTACATGGTACAAAGATTTTTAGAACTGCGGAGTGTCGTAAATGATATTATTTTTCGACACGCCACCGCACCCCCAATGCTCAGCAGTTCAGAAACATCCATTGCCTCATCCGTCCTTCTGATATTGCGACCTTTGGAGGTAGCCACAAAAGAAATTTCTGCAGATAAATATTGCACAACCAGCAAAATTATACCTTTAGTCCGCTGCATATTTTCCAAAATTACTTCAGCAGGTGTCGCAGGAGAACCTGTGGCACGAGAAGTGCAAAAACTGGCTCTGCAAGAAATTACGAAAAGAATGGGTTCCATTGAACATGTTACTCCTCTTGCTATAGCAAACATTTTAGACCCACGTTTTAAAAAAATTCACTTTAACGATGCAATAGCTTGTAGCAATGCCGTATCAAAAATCAAAGATTTAATGAAGATTCATTTGCGTCAAATTGAAGAAATCGAGTCAGACTCGGATAAGTCTGATAAAAGTGAAGAGACATTTTCATTATGGAGTGATCATTACAAACTGGTACATCGCAATTGGAAGGGTAATAAATCTGAAGATAGCTTGTCGGATGAACTTTCAGTTTATCTGACAAGTCTTGTTGGAAGACTTAACGACGATCTTCTAGAAATTTGGAAAGATTACAAACTACAGTTTCCAATATTGCATAAAATTGCCTTTAAATATCTAACAATGGTGGGCACATCAGTGCCATCAGAGAGTGTTTTCGCAAGCGGCGCAGGTAAAAAACTCAACAAAGGAATAGATTAAAGGGATAAAGATTGGGTAAAATTTTGTTTTTACAAAGTATACATAAAAATTATTGGGATATATATTAAAAATAAATGTAAAGGTAATAAAGATATTTTAATAGATGCTTGCTTTTTATTTCTAAACCACATGCATATTTAACTTAAAAACAATCGATGTATAGAAAACATCGATGTATTTTTTGATAAATCGATATTACATCGATGCAACAATCCGATGCATTCAATCGAAAAAAACATCGATGTTTTTTTTAATATTCATCACTAGGTCGATATCCCTGTTATACATTGGCCAGCACGAAGTCCAGACCTAAACCCAATAGAACATCTCTGGGATGACCTAAAACGGCGCGTGCGAGCTTGAGATCCAGCTCCAACCACTCTTCAAGAACTCCAAGATGCGGTACTTGAAGAGTGGGAACAAATACCCCAAGAGGCTGTTGCGACCCTTGTAAGGTCCATGACAGATCGCATGGAAGCCGTTATCAAGGCAAGGGGGGGTAACACTAGGTTTTAAGAACTTTTTTTGTATTTATTAAGTTTTTTTTAAATTATTAATTTGCAAATTTTTACATACCCTTTTCTTTAATTTCTCTTTCGTCTTTTTCTTTAATTTCTCTTTCGTCTCGTTATAAAAGTAAAATTCAATTAAAAGTCCTGAAAGCTAATGAAATTACCTTTCGAATGATACCCTCAAAACAAAACATTGCCATTGGCCTGTTGTGTTAAAATAGTATTTAAATTATTTTTTTCGGATGTGCGATTTTTTTGACGCCGAGTGTATTTAATGTTACAACACTATTTTTAAGTTTAACGATGTATAATTTTGGCCTAGTTGGGAACCGTGTTCCCTGCAAAACCATTTGGAAGAGCTTAATAAATAGTGATTAAAGTTAGGTAAAAAAAGTGATTTATATGGTGCACTATAAAACAAAGTAGGTATTACTTAATAATTTGTTTCATTAATTTATCTAGTAAATAGACGAATAAAAAGTGCTTACTCGTTAGAGTTGCATTCCATGGTCCATTGAAAGATGTAGTACAGTTTTTAAAGCGATTCCGGAAAGCAGTCGAAATTATGTCAACTTAAAAGTCCTGCACTATGAATGTTGCCCTTGTACTTCGCTGGGAAATTATTGATGTTCTTAATTCACTAGACGAAGAATCGTTGATTGCGTTTTGTTTAAAACACAACATATTGGCGAGTATTGATGATAGATTTCCCATTACTAAACCAGTAGTAGCTGCAGCTCTTTTGGACAAGCGGTTTATGGGGCTCAAAGAGTTAGACTTTTATATGGAGACATAAAATTTGACGTAGTCATCATTTCTTGATACTTATTTGGAAGAAATTATAAAGTTGGATGATTTGCAAGTTGGATGACTTTAAAGTTGGATAACATATGAAGTAAAGGAAAACATCAGCGCATTCAATTAATCTTGTGTTATCTTTCAAGGAAACAAAGCGCTGGCGCAGCAATTAAAAATAACCCACTAGACTTGACTAAACCAAGAGTGTTGGCGATACCTCGCTTCGGATGCTGGATCAAAAGCGATGATAAATGAGATCTTTTATCATTTTGGAAGGAAAAGCAAATTGATTTTCCTAGGCTCTACATTTGCCAGGGCTTTGTTCTGTATACTCGCTACCAACACCCCGCGTGAGAGAGTATTTTCGGAAGCTGGAATGGTACTTTCTGCAAGGCGATCAAGAGTAAGTAAAGTCCAAAAAGAGTAAATAAAATAATTTTCATTCACGATAATTACAGGCAATGTAAAGACTATAAAACATAAAATAATTCTGTTCAAGTGTTATAGGGTTTTTCAACAAGAACTTTGTTTTTCAATTGGGGCAACACCAACAACATGACAGTTTTTACATTTAGTTTTTTGACCTATTCGTAGTAGATGCTTTGGCAATTGCTATAATGAATTCAATTTCGCTCCAAAATCGCATTAAATTAATTAAAATCCACTATGAAAATGATGGTTCTGTTAAAGTTACGTTTCGTAAAATTCGTGATATTTTCGGACAACATAATCGTCCTTCTGAGACCGCTATTAAGAATTTGGTCGCTAAATTTGAATCGACAAGCTCGGTACAAAATGTGCCAACACCAACGCGTGTTCGACCGGGTCGTTCAACCGAAAACATCGCAGCCGTGAGTGTGTGTGACCATTCATATCGCCGTAGATTCGCTCAATTCATTAAGGAACAGGCTGCTGGTTTTTCTGAAAAAATCATTTTTTCAGACGAAGCCCCTTTTTACTTGTCAGGGTACGTCAACAAGCAAAATTGCCGCATTTGGGCTTCTGAAAATCCTAAAGCGATTATTGAGAAGCCATTGCATGCTCAACGTGTCACTGTATGGTACACTATGTGGTCTGGAGGCGTGATCGGGCCGTTTTGATTTCGAAGATGAGGCTGGAAATGCAGTAACGGTCAATGGATCACGCTATCGCGAGATGTTAACATCTCAATTTTGGCCTATTATTGATGACATCGATATTACAAACATGTGATTTCAACAGGACGGTGCTACATGTCACACAGCCAACGAAACGATTAATTTATTGCAAACCAAATTTCCCGATCGCATAATTTCACGAAATTCAGCTGTTAAATGGCCAGCCAGATCGTGTGATTTAACACCACTGGATTATTTTTTGTGGGGCTATGTTAAGGACAGAGTCTATACGGAGCCAATCGAATCGATCGCGGCCTTAAAACTCAAAATCCGTGACGTGATTAACGAAATAGACCCGCCATTTTGCCAAAAAGTGATTAAAAATTTTGATGAAAGAATCGACATCTGTCAGCGTGGTCGTGGTGGACATTTGCCAGATATCATTTTTCCTGAGACCTTGAGAAGAAAAACAGGCGTATATTGACTAACTGCGACAATATTTTATAGCAAACCAAGTAAAGAGCGAGATTCAAGTGATTGACAACATTGATCACAGTGATAGGCAGTGAAGCTTACGAGCTGATGATAAATTCGTGCACACCCGACAAATCCGCTAAGACTTATAATGCGTTTGTAGCTTTGATGAAGAATTATTTGAACCCAAAACCGAGTCAACTTGCAGAAAAGTTTGAATTTCGACAACGTTTTAAACATCAGGGAGAATCCGTGGCGGTTTATGTAGCAGAGTTGAAAAAATGAGTAAATACCGCGGCTGTCGAGACTGAGCAGAGAACATCCGGGATCAGTTTATATGCGGCTTATCTAATGAAGACATTTGACAGAAATGATTTACCGAAGATGACAAATATCATTTAATCCATGGAAGCGAACGTGGTCGGTGGTTTTTATGCGGAAGTTTCTGGTAAAAAGGTAAACAGGTAAACCTGTAAAAATTTTAACATTTTCTTAATATCCTGCATTTTGTTTAATGATAATGTACAGGTAGTACTATCATTATTTATAGATATGATTGAATTTGAACTTTGTACAGAAGTAATAAAGTGCAAATTGACTCTTTGACGTTAGGAACATACCTACATTGTTTAAACAACAGTGAGTGCTTATAATTCAATATGAACTTTATAACAGCAATAAAGCTCGTTTAATAATTCTCGTTTTGTTAGAAACCGTTTGTATGGGAAAAAGAAAAGGTCTGTTTTTAGGGTTTTTCCGGCAATTATTCGAATTTTTCTAAAAAAAAAACATCTAAAACATTTAAAAAAAAAGAATTGGCCAAATTGGTCCAGGCGTTGTTGAATTATGCGCTTACCAACACATTTTGCGATTCATTTTTATATTATAGATTAGCCAATCCTTCCAATTTCTCTCAATGGCCAGACTCAACTTAAAATCTGCCATCGGAAAATCTTTCTTATGCCCAAGTCAAGATGAATGTCAGGTTTAAAAATTAATGCATGATAAGGAATATCAAATAAAGGGTTAGCTTTACAATGAAATATAGGACAGGGGAAACGAAGAAAAGTGACCTCTTAAAAAGACATGGAGGATTCTTGAGGACCCAATAGTTGCTTGAAGATACATATTCAGATAGTTGGTGAAGCCTAGGGAATTCAAGGGTGAGCTAAGAGTTGACAGGTCTTGAAAAAGAATCTGTCCGAAAGATACTGCCTTCTCAAGTAAAAAGGAGGATCAACACACTCCATCTGCAGGGCAATATTAGGTGAGGTTTTCGTCATCATTGCACCCATAATGATATGCAGACTTTTATATTGTATTTTGTCTAACAAGCTAAGTGATGCTTTACTACATGGTTCAAAAAGAAAGAAAGAAAGCACCCATAATCCATGTGGCTCCGAATTAGGGAGTTGTGTAAACTAGCTTTTGAGAGAATAGATGAGCGCCCCAACATACGCCAGAAAGGGACCGAATAATGTTCAACTTTATTTTTTTATTACAAAATGATCTCACGTTTTTAGGAGATATAATCAATGTGAGTAACAAATTTGGTGTCAAGAAATTTAACTGAGCCCTGAGGTAGGCCTTTCCAGACAGTTCTTGATGGAAGGAGTGAGTTTTGCACATTTACTAAAATTGACCTAGAGAAGAGGTAGCAAAATAAAGTTAACAACATTTAG